GTCTGGCGGTTCTAAAGTCTTCGCACAGATCTGTCTCATGTGATCCCTACCACGACGGGGCACGCATTATTATTTCTACATTACGGATGAAGAAACTGAGGTTCAGGAGAGCTTACCCAAGGCCACCCAGCTAGTGAAAGGTGAAAGGGGGCGCAGTGGCAGCTGCCTGCCTCCGCAGCCAGGGTCCCATCGCCAAGGTAGAGATCGCATCGCGGGAGGATCAAGGGCGCGCTGTGACACAATGAAGGGGCAGAGCGATGAAGCAAACATTGACAGAGGAGGGGCTCAATCATGGCAACGTAATAAGACGGGATTTCAGGAGTTGCTTGACTGAGGCGGAGAGAGAGGCTGCGTTTGTGGAGAACTGCTCTTGAGACTGTCCTCAGTCGAGTCAACATACACCCCGGAAATCCAGATTCACGGTTGGGAGAGGGGCAGAGGGGTCTTGAAGAGCTTTCAGAACCACGTGGGAGTCGGCTGTTGCAGACAGCCACTCACCCCTCACGCTCATGGCTTTGTGCAGATTCTGGTTGGCCAGTAAGGAAGATGGGGACATGGTTTCACTGCCCTCCTCTTTACTGCCCCTCCTCTCTTCCTTATGGCCACCTGGCCCATCGTATTTTCTCCAGATCCTTCGGATTTCCTCCAGCATCCTTTTGGCTGAGCACACAGAGAGGGCACCCTAGACCGATGCTGGAGCCGGCCCCTGGGCAAAGAATAGGGGAAATGCCTTTCTTTCTCTGTCCGAATCAGTTGGGCACTCCTTACCCTCCCCCAAATAGGTACTTATGTGCCCAAATAATGTGACAAATACCAAACATCATTCTTTTTTTCTTTAATTTTTTATTAAGGTTTATTTATTTTTGAGAGAGAGACAGAGAGAGACAGAGCATGAGTGGAGAAGGGGCAGAGAGAGAGGGAGACACAGAATCCAAAGCAGGTTCCAGGCTCTGAGCTGTCAGCACAGAGCCCGACGTGGGGCTCGAACTCACGAACCACGAGATCATGGCCCGAGCCAAAGTCAGACGCTTAACTAAGCCACCCCAGGCGCCCCTACCAAAGATTATTCTGTCATCCCAGAAACCTTAAATTAGAGAGACGTCTGCTCTGATAAACTGTAAAATTAACGACAGCAAATCTTTCTTATCCATTCTGACCGATGATGACAGCCACCATCTTATTTGCATTTTACCATGTGCCAGAAAGTAAGCTAGGACTTTACATATATTATCACACTTGATCTTTACCAGAGTGTGTCACAGAGAAGGAGAAGGTCACAGAGAGGTTAGACAATTTTCTCAAAGCTGCAGCGCTGGGGTAGGAAGAGGCCAATGCGCTTTCAGGCTTTATCTTCCACCCCAGGGACAACTGTGGGCCAGCCGAGCCCTCTTTCCTTCCCTTTCTGCCTTCACAACCAATTAGGAAACAAGATGCAGGAGACTGACAGATGAGGACAAAAATGTCAGTGATGTTCCTGATAAAGTCTGGTAGAGACTGTGACTTTGGGTCTGTGCGAAGAGTTCTTACTAATATTATCTGCATGTTCTTCCTTGTGCTGTTCCCCCCCCCCCCCGCCCCCACCGCCTTGAAGTCAGATGACAACCATCAGGTATCCTGTCCAGGTGACAGTCTGGCTCTGGAGTAGTCTGGGTGGAGAGGTTCGAAAAGAGTGAATCCTGTGCTTTTAATAAATTATTAATAAATTAGGTGGACCAATGGATTTCTCCCACTTCTTGGGCAGTAGAGGGTGGGGCCCGAGGCCAGAGGGTTACTATTTGGAAGAACCTTAAAGAAAAAGTATCTAAAACAAGGAGAAAGGAGTTTCCTTTCTGTATTAGTCAGCTTGGCCGCCATGACAAAAGACCACACTGGGCGGCTTAAACAACAGGAATTTATGTTTTACATTTCTGGAGGCTGGGAGGTCCAAGATAAGCCACCAGATTTGGTGTCTGCTGAGCCCCCCCTTCCTGGCTTGCAGCTGGCCACCTTCTTGCTGTGTCCTCCCAAGGGAGAGGCAGAAGGAGAAGGTAAGACCCAGAATTCTCTTCTTATTAAGGCACTAACCCCATCATGGGGCCCCTCCTTCATAACTTCGTCTAAACCCTCTCTCCTGCCAAAGGTCCTACCTCCTCAACCCATCTTACTGGGAATGGGGGCTCCAACATATGAGACTACAGGGGGAGGCCTGGGGGAGATGGACAGGGGATAAACATTCAGTCTGGAACACTTTCCTCCCTTATCCCTTCTCCTGAAAAACCCCCTGAGGAGCGGGGACTGTCAGGGGACCGAAGACAGTAATTCTTCTTCAGAACCCTGGACGAAGCCTCAATACAGCCGCCTTCACAGAGTTTAAAAGCAGCAGCATGAAACCAAACCTGGCCCCATCATTTTTTACTGGCTGGGGGACCTACCATAAGCACTGCATTCGCCTTCTCTGAACTTTGTTTTCCCATCTATAAAACAAGAATGATAATAGCACCTTGGGGGCTGCTTTGAGGCTTTAAGGAGATATTGAATGTAAACGACACAGCATATTGAGCGCTCAATAAATATTAACAGAAACACACATTATACTCTTGGAGACGTAATTATGTGGGGGAAAAAAGTGCACCTTAAACTTGGTGGAAAATGGTACTTTCTGTCCCTGGACATTATCCTGCAGAACGCACCAGTGACGTTACCATGAATCTTTGGTCAAAGCTATGGATTGGCTACTGTTAGAATTTAAGCGGCTAGTCTGGTCCAAGGAGATCACAGAGAGGAAAACAATTCAAAGAAACCTTGGGACTCGGTCTTTTGTGGGGAGGGTAGAAGGCAGATGTCAGCTTTGTTTGCAGGGTGGTGAGTGATGGCTGGTCCTGCAGGCCGAGAGAAAGGTCACTGGAGGAGATTTAAACCTTTTTACTCAGAAGCCACACTGACATTCCCCGTGCAGTGATGGAAGCTGAAGGAAGCTGAGAGATCGCTGGTCCAAATCTCTCATTTAACCAGTTAGAAAAATGAGATGCAGAGAAGTTTGGTGATTTATCCACTTAATGCTTCTAGCTAGTGATGGTCAAGGGCCCAATCCCCACTCCATGTCACATGGATGAGGTTTCTCTTGAAACATCCTGCCTTGCTCCAATAGGTTAGTATCTTTTACATCCAGGAGCTCAAGACTCTCATTAAAACACTAAAAAATGTATGTTTTAAAGGACAGGAACTCATAAATATCAAGCACCTGTACGTGCTAAGATACCAGGATTCTTCTATGGGCTAAAGTTGGGTATTTTCCAACCAATCCAGAGAGTGAGCTTTCTTCCCTTTTCCCTGAGAAGGAAACTGAAACTCAGGCAAAAGGCTTGCCTACGATCCCAGGTATCAGGACAGCAGATACCTCGAACTCTGCAGAGATCCAAGTATCCGGGGGCCAGGGACTATTTCCCCCAAGAACGTGGTTTCGAGTATAATGTTTTTCTCCACTAGAAAAAGTGTCGCGTGTAAATATTAATAGTGATTTCCAAGCAGGCAGAAGTGATTGTTTGAGACCCAGATTTTTTATAAAGAAAAATAAAAATGTTCTCCCCAGGTTTGTGCTAATTCTAAAGAGATCATTAAAAAAAGTTCACCCTTGAGATTCTTTTTTTTTTAATACTAAAATAGATGTAATTTTTAACACTCGTAAGGGCTTCAGGCAGATTTTTTAAAGTTATGCAAAAGAGAAATAAGTGGGATATTTGATATTAGCCTCTCATGCTGTCTCTAAAATTTTCCACAGTTTGTTTATGTAATATTTTTTTCTGCCTTAAAAATATGTGCTCATTGCTGAAAATTTGGGGATTTCAATAAAGTTTCAAACAAAAAATTTAAAATTTGTCCACATTTCCACCACTCAGAGTTAATTGCCATTAATATTTTGGTGTGTGTGCTTTAATTAATAGACTTTTTTAGAGCAGTTTGAGTGGAAAGTTCTCATATACTCCCCCCCAACTTCTCCTACCATTGACATCTTACATCAGTGTGGTACATCTCTTACAACTGATGAGTCGATATTTATACATTATGAGGAACGAGTTTACATTTGAGTTCACTCTTGGTGTGGGTTTTGACAAATGTATATGACATGTATCCACCATTTGATATTACAATTTTTTTCACTATTTAAAAGAGTATAAAGTTAATTTTGACTCTTCATTCGGTAATTTCATCATTTTATGTTTTTTTTTTTTTAATTAATGTTTATTTATCCTTGAGAGAGACAGAGACAGAATGTGAGCGGGTTAGGGGCAGAGAGAGAGGGAGACACAGAATCCGAAGCAGGCTCCAGGCTCCGAGCCATCAGCACAGAGCCCTAGGCGGGGCTGGAACTCAGGAGCTCTGAGATCATGACCTGAGCCGAAGTCGGACTGAGCCACCCGGGTGCCCCCATTTTATGTTCCTTAGTTTAAAAGTAGTTGTTAGGGGCGCCTGGGTGGCGCAGTCGGTTAAGCGTCCGACTTCAGCCAGGTCACGATCTCGCGGTCCGTGAGTTCGAGCCCCGCGTCGGGCTCTGGGCTGATGGCTCAGAGCCTGGAGCCTGTTTCCGATTCTGTGTCTCCCTCTCTCTCTGCCCCTCGCCCGTTCATGCTCTGTCTCTCTCTGTCCCAAAAATAAATAAACGGTGAAAAAAAAATTAAAAAAAAATAAATAAAAAAAAATAAAAGTAGTTGTTATTGTTCCTTGATGACAGAAGTAATCCATGTTTACAGTAGTGCTGGCGCATAGTAACCATTCAAATGAATCACCTAAAAACTGGCAGCTTTCGAAAGGGTATGTTTACTTTATAAGTTTCATCAGTTGCATGTAAACATTCACAGACTATTTGGGGTCCTCATCCTAGCACAGGAGGGTTTGCTTCGCCTCTGTGGTTTTCATGCGAATTAATGATTAGCCCGTGATCGTGCTTTGAGTGGGTTCACTGAACGGCACACATAAGACTTGTCGTAGTTCCTGGGGAAAAGGGTAGGTTTAAAAATCCTCACCTAGTGTTTCCCTTGCTCGGAAATGCGCGCAGCCACGGTGCCTTTGCTCCACGCCCAGGCAGAGGTGGGGCGAGTGGACGGGAGTGGGGGGGCGGTTGCCCCGGCGACGCGGCGGCTCCTCCCGCCCTGGGCGAGGCTGGGGGGGCTGGGGTAGTGATATGGGGGCGTCGCTGGGGGTGGTAGGAAAGGAGCCGGGCTGGGGGTGTAGCTGAGAGGAAGAAAAGCTGGGGTGGGGGAGAAGTGTAGGAGGGCCGAAGCAGGGGTGGGGGATGATCCTGATGGGGGATGGGGGATGCTGTTGGGGGGTTGGGAATGGCCGGGAGGATGGTGGGGACAGCCGGGCTGTAGGCAACGGCAGCCTTAGCGGGGGGGGGGGGGGGGGGCCCCGGGGGGGGGGGCGTGGCCTTAGAGGGTGGTGGAGGGAGAGCCTGGTCGGGGCCGTGGCCTGAGTGGACAGAGACCCGCGCTGGGGGCGTGGTCAGGGCCGGTCGGGGGCGTGGCTTGAGTTGGAGGGATGGCCCGTCCGCGGGCATCAAGGGAGAGCTGGGCTGGGGGCGTGGCCGGGCGGGCTGGGGGCGTGGCCCGGGGAGCCTGGAGGCTGCGGCGCCGGCGGGATTCAGCAGCGCGCTTTCTCCCGGGGCAGCCCCGCCCGCCGCCAGCCCGGAGTCAGCGCACGGGTGCAGAGGCTCCCGGGGAGCCCGGCGTGCTCGGAGCTCGGCGGGACCGGGACCGGCCCCGTGTTCGCAGGGACGTGTTGGATCCGCTGGCTTTGGAGGCTCCGCCGAGCGGGGCCCACGCGAGGTGAGGCTGCACCCGGGCGTGCGGCTCTGCGGGGTGGGCGCGGGGCCGGCGTCCAGGGCTGTTAGCTGGGAGCCCCGGGAGAGGAATTAGCCCCAGGCGATGGCTTTCGTAGTCCGGGGACGCCCCGCTCAGTCCTCCTGGCCGCTCGTCGGGCCGCCCGCGCTGCCCACCTGTTGGTGCCCCGCGGCGGTTGCTCGGCGCTCCCCGGGCTCGCCAGCGGCGTGGCCCGGGGGAAGCGCGTGCCGGCGGTGCTCGTGGAAGAGGCCGGCTCCTGCACGACCCTTTCGGGGATTACCCTGAAACTTTACCTCGCCCTCCCGACTCGCTGGGCCTGGCCTGCGAGGTTGCGCGGGGCGCGCGGACAAAGGTTCGGGGAGCCTGGTGCGGCCGGTGTTCCCTCCCCTGTTCGGCTCCCTCCGGCAGAGTGACCGGTGCGGCGAGCGCCCGCCCGGGGCTGCTGCGGCCGGCGGCCCTGGAAGGGATGCGGTCGGAGAACTTGGTTTTGGAAGCGAGTTTCTCCCTGGGTCCCAGCTGGGGCTCATTTCAGGGGAAAGAGCGGTGGGACCCGGCGTCTGTCGTCTGTGGATCGGAGGGAGTTGCTGGCGTCGGTTTGGTTCCGTTCGTGGTTGACGTGGTGAGGGAATTTGCATACCAGCCCCGGGGGGAAGGTAGGAGCCGCCACTGCTGCCCGCGTCAGGGGGAACTCAGGTGACCTGTGCTGGCGGGCCACCCATCTGACTGTGCAAAGTTACAGAGCCTGAGCAAATCTCCCCTCCCTCCAAGTGCGACAAAGCAAAGCAAACCAGACCAAAGCAAACAAGAACTCTCCGGGTTAGTTGCTTCCCAGCGTTGGATGATAATGTTAGAACAGTAATTTGAATTTACTTAGCATTTATGACCAGGGCTATCCAAAATCAAAATCAACCCCTCCCCCCCCCCCGTTTTCTCTGCACCCCACCTCGTTTTCTGTGTTGCCTGTTTTCTTCCCCATAACCCCCCTCCAAGAGTCCCAGTTCTTTGCTGTCCTTTGCCAACAGGCACAGAAATCTCACTCCCGTTTTGTATTTCCACCTTTCTTAACAAATGCACCTTTTTCCTTCACGTCCCCCAATTTGCAAACCTCCTCACTCCATTGTTCTCCTGGTGTCTGTTAATCATGCACTCCTCCCGCTGCTGAACCTTGTTCTCTGCCCCCACATCCTTTAGAGTTTTATGTGACTGTTTCTTATACATATTGTAATTTTCATCTACCTCCTTCGGCCCCCACATTTGCCATCATCTGTCCACCCAGTTTGATTATCCACTTTTTCATTTGTGCTACGCAGGCGTGGGCATCCTGATTCTGTATGGTGAGTTTCTCCCACATGGTGCTTTCTTGCTTTTCACAAACTACTTCTTTCTCCTTGACAGGTGCTTTTTGCCAGCACAGCCTGCTGTTGCCCTCACAGCACCCCTCGGTTCACTGTCTTTGGTTGTGATTCTTCTATGCCATCACCATCCGTCGGTTCCTTTTCCTCTTTTCCAATCAGTCGTCCGTTACCTTGCAGACTTTATTTCAGACCCCTGAAGGGGTCAGGAGGTGGAGGTAGGGGACAGCTGTATCTCCCCAGGAGTGCTCTGGATTTCAGGATCTTCCTGTCTGCTCTAGTATCGTATACATAGTTCTAGAATTATGTTACCATTGATATCAATACGAATGTTAGGTAGCACTTACCAAAACACTTAACATGGGCCAGGCACCCTTTTGAGGGATTTACATGCAATAATAACTCACAAATCCTCCTCTCCTCCTTGGAATATAGATATTATTACTGTCCCCATTTTACAGATGAGACCAGAGAGGCTGAGAGAAGTAACAGGCCCAGTTTCTCATGGCTACGTAGTAGTGGACCCCTCCTCACCAGGCGCTGAGCTTCCGTGTGGTAGGAACTTTTGAACTCAGACATGGGCTGGAATTTGGCTTTGGAAACCAGGTCATCATTTGCATGCTTTATTTAGTCTGCAATTGATAACAGTTGAGGGCAAACTATCTCTACCTGTAGAACAGTATATGGGGAAAACCTGATGCCTAATGCCCTTCAGCAAGACTGGGGACACTGACCAGGCTGACTGTCATTTCAAGCTCACTTTCAGCCTGCTTCCTTAAGAGAACACCCTGGCCCCCTTAGCTACAGGAACTCGAGGAGAAAGAAAAGACCATTGCCAACTGTCTCCTGTGCATTGAGAGTTCAATTCCACTTTCAGCTAGCTGGCCAGGCCTCTAGAGTCCCTGATAACCCAGTGATTTTAGGAGTCTTGTTTATTTCTAGTTCATTATATAACCTTAAAGCCTTGTTCAAATACTGTCTTGTTGGTCTTCACCTTCCTGAAAGTTGGAGGCAAATATTTTTTTGGTGATACTGAAGCAGAGTTGTAGGTAAAGTTTTATCCTCTGATGGCAGGAAGGGATCTGACATTCCACAGGTGAGGAAACTGGGACCCAGAGAGAAAGTGACGCGTCCAAGGGAAAGCAGCAAGACGGTAGAACTGGCTTTAGATCCCAGATCAGTTGACTTCGGGTCCAAGGCTCTCCATGCCTGGCCCTGTGGCTTGGTGGGTTGACCTCTCTGCTTGCTGCTGAAAACAATGAACCGTCTTTCCTCTTCCTTTCCTGAGCTAAGAGGCTTTGGAAAGATTCATTTAGAATGGAAATTGTCAGGGGTTCTCTCTCTCTCTCTCTCTCTCTCTCTCTCTCTCTCTCTCTCTGTGTGTGTGTGTGTGTGTGTTTTGTCTGAAAGCTAAACCCTTAAAAATGTTTGCTTTTGAGATACGTGATGGCATACGTGGGGTCATAAAATCAACGGAAGTTATCAATTCACATGTCTTAGAAAGAAGTAATTTTGTTATTTTCAAAACACCAAGAGCGAACGCCAAACGTACACTGCTTCCTAGAGGCGAGTCATATTATACACGGCAGTTTAAAGATCAGTAACTGTAATGTTTAATTGTATTTTCCATTTGCAGAGAGAAATGCATTAGGCACAAAGTGCTCACATGATTTCCTCCATCCTGCATCTCAAATGAAACAGAAGCGAAGGGGGAGAGCCTGTCGGGTTAGTTTCTGTTTTTGTATTGCCTCTGACAAGCCCACCCCCCCTTCTCTTGGACCGGGACTTACACCCATGCCCTCCTGATTCCGGGTCCTTCCTGTCCCTTTAATCCCTTCCCCCAGGAACCCTCAGGAAACCTGGAGGGTATTCTTTACCCATAATGCTCAACTCAGCTCATTCTGTATCCGTCCCTCTTGACAGAATTAAACCCTAATGCCCTAAGGTATACGCTGTATGTAATTAACTTCCCTCTGAGGCTTCTAGAATGAGAAGGGTGGTTAGGTCCCTCCTTGGGAGAATCCAGGGAATGGTCACTCAAATTGTTGTCTGTGTTCTGTGGTTCAGGTGAGGATCGTCACAGCTGAACAGCAAGTGAGGTTTTCCTGGTCCCCTTTCACAGGTGAGAGGATGGAGGTCAGGGACGTTGTCATGGCCAGAGCCCCATAGTAAGTAACCAGAGTGAGACCGGAGCACAGGGCTGCCTGGCCCAGGAAATCTGGGCGTCCGCTTCCCTTTGTCTGTCTGCCTGTGGCTTGTGACTCCCTCAGGCAGCACTGTTTCTCAGAGGCTTCTACAAAGTGATGGTTCCTGCTTGCTGAGTGCAGGTGCGGCACGAGGGTGGGGGGCCGGGGCTCACAGAAGTTCCAGGGCCTTCCGGAACTTCTCTGCTTCACGTCGGGTGAAGCACGCGGTGCTTTCTCACCGCCTGAGAGGGCACCGGGGAGCTGTGGCAGTGTCCGGAATGAAAAGACAATCGTATATGTTTCTAATACAGGGCGGTGGCAGTTTGCCGTGGTCGGACGTCCACAGTTGTGGACACAGGCGATGCCCCATCCTGTGGTCTTCATGTTCAAATGGCCCAGACGTAGGACTGTTACCTCATCTAATCAGGACCTCAAAGGACCTGATTTCTTGGTCAGATACAGCCTCCACCGTTTCCCTGCAGTAGGACCACTCTGCTTTTGTGGAAGAAATGAGAACTCAGCCTTGTAATTTCAGGGACCATGTGCCTGACTGAAAATATCTTCCACGCTCGCCTGCCAGCTCTGGACTGGAACGTTCCCCTGCCTCCTGTCCTCGCTGTCTGGAATCAGCCAGACTGGGGAGTCCCGAGAGGACTCTGCATGGCTTATCTGCAAGAAGGGGACAGCCAGCCTTTCCCCCCAGCCCCCGTTATCATCCCATCGTGACGGAGTTTGCTTCTAAGGTTGGCAAGCTGTCTTTGGAGAAGAGGAGAATATAGGGCTGAAATGATCAGACTGGAAACTGTTGGAGGAGGGAGGCAAGTGGGAAACTGGGAACTTTCCTTATCCCATAGGACAGGTGCAAGGGGAGGGAGTCCAAGATTTTATTGTCTTAAAACAGAGGGGCAGGAGGCCAGGAATGAGACGTGCTCCTGGTACCGGAACTTTGATCACAGTCTTTCATAGAGATTATCATTCTATATAATCTAAACAGTGAGCAGTCTTGTACTTGAGTGTTAAACTTAACAGTTCGGTCACGTTAAACAGATTTCTGAGGTCAGGCTCTAGTGCTTAACCACCGCATATGCTGCAGAAGTGAATGAGCCCTGAGTCCTAAAGACAACTTACACGTGGACTTTGAAACACATCCAGTGTATACATTGGGACTGTCTGTAGCTATGAGAAAACCAGCTTCTACTTCACAGCT